CATTTGCGGAACAGTGACAAGAAAAAGAAGCACAGCTGGAAAAAGAATCCGTTCAAGAAGAAAAACTCGGCCAATCATACTTAATCGCTTGATATTATATTCGTACTATTTTACAGGCTTGTAGTACTTAGTGTTCCGTTGTATGTTTTCGCGTGATTAGTGTCTTGTAGCATCTCTTTCTGTCTTTATAGAGTTGTGTTGACGAATTCAATGGTTGGTGACTCGGAACGTTGTGTAAGCGTTACACATCACTGGGTTGGGGACAGCCTCCATGTGGTTGTCCTATAACGTGATGTGTCTCTGAACTCGACATAAGAAGAGGAGAGGGGAAAAGAGAGGCAAACGGAACCACCGTAAAGCTAAAGAGGTGCACGCATACACATGTGCGTGACTGCGAAGCTGTCTCCTTCATAGACTACACTCCGATCAAAGTTTACAGGTATAGAACATCAACAGGATGGATCGAATGTGTATTATTCAAGTAGAAGTGGACAATTTATGGAGGAAGACTTGCTTCAGTTTTAGCGTTTTAGTTGATGTATGGCGGAGCTCGATGTAGCGCAGGTCTCGCGTTGGTGTGAAAGCCTCGCACCAGCGGTTGGAAGTGATCTGGCAAAGAAAATCAGTGAGTATGTGGCGAGGAAGCAGGTAGTATGTTTGAAAATTCATCGACAGTTTGGCCGAGTGGTCTAAGGCGCTGGCTTAAGGCGCCAGTCCGAAAGGGCGTGGGTTCGAACCCCACAGCTGTCATTTGCTATTGTTCGATAGTCAACTTTGCTCTAACCTCCGAGATTCTTCTAATATCTTTCAGCTCGATGGAGATCACCTTGCAGGAGTGCTTCGTCTACCACAAGACTTTGTCTCGGATGCACAAATCGACGGGTTAACGATGGTGCCTGCTAACAAAGTCAGAAAGGCGTGGTTTAGAGAATTTCCACTCACAAGGTGACCATAACAAGCTCAGGATCTCCTCGCCCGCCTGAGTCTATTGATTCCCACATGGTCCACTGAAGCCTCGTGATAGGCGCCCATCGGTAGAGTCGTGCTCCGTCCAAGATCATCATTCCTCATCGCCGCCGATGTGGGACTCTCCGGATGCCGCCGCATCCGAGACCAGTCTCGAGCCGTGTGCCTCTTTGCCGTCCATAACGAGTACTGCTCCACCAGTGCCTATCGTTGACGAGGCCGTTACAGAAGTGAAAAGTGGGATGAAGATCGTCGCACTTAGCGCATCTCCCAGCACTGTAAGGAAGAGTTCAGATCGCTTCTCAGCGTATCGATGGAATATCAGTGATTCGAGAGGCAGAAAATCTATGCTGCTCTCTAAGGTGGCCTTTCTCAGGCTGAACCGTATGAGTGGTTGCCGCAGAATACCATTCGACAGCGAGACATAGCAGTGCCTCCCCCACCTTCTCGGGCGCCTCCCTTACCTAAGGGCCGTCAAGACTCCAGTACGGCATCAGACAGAGACATCCGTGATATGTAAGTGCGAGACTTCCATGCTGCACCTCCTTCTGGAATTTTTCTATTGCTTAGGGGAGAGCGGCACAAAGGGCAACAGGAGACTATGGGTTCCGTACGTATAGTCGGTATAGACGGAGGCGGACCCCAGCAGAATCTGACAGCGATGCTGTGGCTGCAAGCTGTCATCGATAGACTGGCCAGTAGAGTCATCGCGCTCACTACAAGATTCCACACGTCCTTGCACTCAGGCAAAGCGAATCTTGATCGTAGGAGTGCTTATCGAGAGATAGAAGATCTCCTGCCAGAATGGATGTGGAATCACCTTTGGGGAGCCGTTGAGACCACAGTACCCAAGAGGGAATCTGGGAGTAGCTCTGATGGCGACACTAGTGGGGCTTCCCTCGCAACTTTGTTTGGCCAGTAGTCTTCATGGCAGGTGCTTACTACGGCGCGCCGTCTACCTCTTCTGCTACTCCGGGAAGCTCTCCAATAGTGTCCGACGTTCGGGAACCAGGAGGAGCGCGATGCCCTGTCTCCAGCGAGAGTGACGGTTTTGATGTTACACTGGGGGAGCATCGGCCTCCTGTCGGCCGCAGACGACTCAGAAAGCGAGCAGCTCCTAAGAAGTCTCCGAAGGAAGGTAACCTGTTCACTCTGTAAATAGGTAATTTGATTACTATCCTGACAGTCTCAAAGGAAGCGTTGGTGGGCATAGAGATTCTCCGAGCGGCACTAGCGGGCACCGACATGCCTATTCGAATGCTCCGTCCTGAACTGAGTCGAGGCCAAAGACCTGCTGTGAGACTTATGAGCTGTGCCCATGCTAAAGATTTGTGAATCTCAGGTCAGAAAGTCTTCGACGGGAGCATCACATATGACAAACACAGGCAGGAGTCCCCTTCTTGGAGAGCCGAAGAAGCGGCCTTCGATAATCGATTCGAGGAGTTCTCCGACTTGCAGGCCATCCATAGGCGGTGACAAGAACCCCGAGCAACTTGCCGAGTGGATACGGGCGTTGCCATCCACTCAAATTCCGAGTCTCTTTTTCCGCTATCGAGGCAGCATCAAATTATCCGAATTGTCAGGTCCGAAGCTGTCGGATCTGGCCGACACGATATTGTCGAACGGAATCGATGGACCGCAAATGACGGGCTCGGCTGGCTTGCGTGACCTTGGTAACGTGAGTGAGTCGATTCTGTTGCAGTCAGTCTTATCAGGGATCTGCAATCCGCTCGAGAGCCGAAAGTTGGATCGATTTTGGCAGAATGTTCTTGCGGAGACGCGAGCGGCTGAGTGCGCACGAGACAATGCTGGACAAATTAGAACTGGCGGCATTCAAGTGACGTTGAAATGAAGCCTCTACTGGCCACCACAACACAATTCAACAATTAGTTCGGACCATTGCTGTTGCTTATCTGCATGCAGCTGACTTGCATATATCAAAAGGGTTTTTTTGAGTTAGTGCAGTTGATATGAACAACAAAGATTTCTGTCAAATCCTTTGAATTTTCCCACGATTTTTTTGAGTTCATGGAGCGAATGAGCGTGGTAGTGACGTTACAGGTTGGTAGCCTATGATTCACATGTTTCATAGCGTGAGTGTTCTACTTGTTTATACGGCTGGTCTTATCTCGTGGACAAAGGCCTTTTACATATGTTCTCGCTATGTATTCCGATTCACTTGACAGAATATTTTGCGATACCTTTTGTGTATTAGTAGTAATGTAAAATCGCAATTCCGTACGCGGTACAATGCCACATCAATGATGGTAGCGAATCGCCTATTCAGCATAATTTTCGTGGAACCTAAATTCGCTCATACATACCTCTGCCGACTCGAACGTGTACATGTGTATTGTCTAGAAAGCAAGTCGACACTTGACAAACTGAAACAGTTAACTATGAGTTCATTATCGGCTATTTCACGACTCATAGTCGATACTCCTATGATACGACTACAGGGTCGGCCACAACGGTATCCTCCACGGGCTTGAAAGCGCTCGGGAACATGCGCATCCAATCGGGCGGACCATAGTCGGCGACACGAGGCTCGGGGTCGACCACGGCCCAAGAACAGTCTTGTTCGATGCCCATAGCGTTGATACCCGACTGAACATGGAAGTACCCTTGGTCACCCCAGAAGGTTCCCCAAGAGTTCTTCACGATATAATATTCTTTACCATCTTCGTCTTGACTCCAACCAACGATGACAATGTCATGATCGAGACTCCAGTTTCCGGTAGTTGTCGCTCGGACGATATCGCCAGGATGGAATTTGCCGTTCTCAACTTCACCAGAATCGACACCGCAACTGATAGGGCCACGACGATAGACCTCAGACTTGATCTTGTGAGGAGTCGGGTTGGGTATTTTGGCAAACTCCGTGACGAAATAGCGACCGTAACGTTGTACTGGATAGCAAGGCCCAGTACCGGCCGGAGGGTCACAATTGATGCAGTTATCAATTGGGGAGCACTGACCGTCCTCGCCGCGGTAAAATTGGCATTGGTCGTCCGGTAGACCCTCGAGATAGGCAAACTTGTACACACCAAAATCTTCACCGCCATGACAAGAGCCAGCGATGTCACGTCCGCAGTTGAGGACGACCTGGCGGGCGACGTTGACCTCGGGGAACTGAGCCTTGTTGGCCACTTTGAGCCTGTCGTTGATGACACCAACGCCGGCATGAAGCCAGCAGGAGCCACAGTACTTCGGAGCGTGCTGATTGAGAACCTTGGTAATGTAATTGACACCGTTGTGGTGACGCCAGTCGAAGGTAGCAGGCAAATGATGCTCATCTGTGTAGGTATGAGGCAAAGGTGAGACGACCACCTCATGATTAGAGTGGTCACTGAACATAGCCTTACGGCAGCCACCAGCCGCAACGTAGGCGATTAGACCAACGTAAGTAGCGAAGAAAAGCATTATGAAGTGGTGACGCGGACTAACGACTGGGGCGAAATGATTTTGCTCTGAAACGGAGCGATGTGCGCATGTACAATCTCGCTCGCCCTGTAGTCGTTGAAGGATGTAGAGTTGCTCCTCGCACTCCACAGCACAACGTTCTCATGGATCAGGAAGATCAAGTCGAGGAAGTGAGCGTCTCCTCTCGACGGCTATCGAACGCACGACACGGCCTTCTTCCTTGTAGGTTGAATGGGATGATGAAGAGCTGTCGAGGCTTGTATACAACGAGATCGATCGGACCTTCAGCGACAGACCGTAGGTTTATCTCACGACTAGATCTCGCTGATATCAATGCTGTTGAGAGTATCAAGGCAGAGACTAGCCTATAATTACTAGAATCACCTCCGTTCGGGTAGATGATGACGTGAGTTGTTGTTGATTCACGTCGGGTGTAGCGTAGCTGTCCAGAACAAGCAAACGAGTCATAGTAAAGGGTCGTAGATACTTATCCTGCTTTTCTGTCAAATAT